GCACCAATGTCGGCCCATTATTTGTTATGAGATGCTTAGTAACTGAAATTGTTATGGTTGGCTAATTGACTTATGTGAAGACCATGGGGGGAGCCCATGACACTTGGAAAAACCTTGGGGGAGCCCATGAAACTGGGATACAAGACCATGGGGGTAGCCACGACATTCCAAATGAAGACCATGGAGGGAGTCCATGGCAAACTTATGTTTATATGTGCATGGCATGATATGGTTATGTGTTTATGTGTTTTTGGGAAACTCACTAAGCGTGTGCCTACAGTTTTTTTGGGTGTTTCAGGTACTTCTGGTTCTAAGGGCAATGTACACCAAATTTTTTCTAAAATTTTACATGAGAAATGAAAATTTTGGGGTATACTTGGTATGAAAACCTGGGCGTTACACTTTTATTTAGCGTACAGTCTTAAAATTAAACCTGCTTAAAAGAAAATTGATTGGGGTGGGAATTACTTATTCTCGTGTGGAGGAGGTCGAGGGTATGATAGGTTGTGAGCCAAATGTTATTCCCTTTATTTATTTGGTTATCCGAGTTGGCCAAAATATGGATCATGTTAGTGCTTAGGTGCCTCGTCTAGAGAGATTTTTGTAGTAAACTTTCAGTTTGGAAAACTAAAACCTTGTTCGTTGGTGGTCGTCTTAATTTATTGAAACCTGTCTTGGGTTCTCTGGGGAGTTATTGGATGTCGATGTTCTCAGTCCCTTTATATGTGCTCCATTCTCTTGAATCTATGAGAGTTAGGTTGTTTTGGTGAGCAGATCCGGATGAGAGGATATTGCATTAGATCAGGTGGGAGAGAGTTCTGGTAAGTAGATTTGACAGAGGTTTGGGAGTGGGGGGTCTTGTCGCCTTTAACGGGGCTATGCTCTTTCGTTAGAGATGTATATTTTTTTCATTGTCAGGACTCTTTGTGGGTAAGAGTTGTTCGTATGTTATACGGTAGAGAAGGAGGTTGTTCTTCCTTGATTCCAAAGATAGACTGCGTTAGTCCTTGGAATGGTATTATCCGTTCTTTAAAATTTTTGAGATATCAAGATTTTGATCTTCAGGCTTAGTGTCCTATTCAGGTGGGAGATGGCAAAATCTCTTCCATTTGGCATGATGTGTGGGCATGTGATGTGTCTCTGGCTACAGTGTTCCATAGGGTTTTTCCTATGGAAAATCACAAGCACTTATCAGTCAAAGATAGTTTTGATCAAGTGTAACATCCCCAAATCCCGATAAAAATTTTCATTTTAAACCAAGTAAAATCATTGTTTTTAGATACCATCCAAATCAAAACCATTTGTTTACAAAACATTGTTCTCAAAATAGAATTCACAAATCAGAGTGTCCCAAAATCCGATAACATAAAATCCAAGGGATGTGCACGATCACGCATTCGCTTGCCACGATCATCTAAAGTACATGAAACAATAAACTGAAACGGTAAGCACGAAGCTTAGTGAGTTTCCCCAAGGTACCGTCACACAAACATATAACAACATGCATATTGGGTCCATAGCTAACAGACTAGATTACCCTTGAGTCCACAACATGAGTCTGGCTTTCCTCCTGGCCCACAACTCATGTTTAGCTTACTCCCGAGCCCACAACATAAGTATGGCTTACCTTTCGGGCCCACGACTTATGTCTGGATTCCTCTTGAGCATACAACATAAGTCTGGCTTGCCTTTCCGACCCACAGCTTATGTCTGGCTTGCTCCCAGGTTTGTTGGCTTCCGCACAAAGCAGTGTTGCCTCAACCCAACCACACTAAGTCAATATATACAACTGATAAACACATAACCAGCAAACAAATAATCATATAGATCTACAGATCCCTACTGCATAACAACAACTTCTATACCAAGATACATAACCTAGTGGGCCGACATTGGTGCATTCGATCCACAAGTACAATGAGGAAAACTCACCGGAATGAAAGTCAAACTTGGTCAAAGTTCAACGGTCAACGGTCAATGAAAGTCAACAGTCAGCAGACTCTCACGGCGTGACCATCTATGGCTCACGAAGTGAGCCTGCACGCTATTTTGATCTAAAAATCTCTTAATCCGTTAATCCATCAGTCCATCTTTTCCAGGAGGCTTCCTACCACTCCTAAGATCATAAAATTCGATGCTTTAAGGTCTTGTATGTCCACTACAAGACTTGAGCTCAAACTAGGTCATTTATGAAGAAAAAGGAGTTAGGTTCTCAAGCATGGACTCAAACATCCTCCAAACTTCAGATCCATAAGATATAAGTACCAAGGGACCCCGTAGACCTATAAAGTCGCCAACTTTATGGAGTCCCAACACTTTAACTCTTAAACCATGGCTAAGCATGTATAAAACCTTATATCTAGCAACAAGGAAACATAAAGTTTGGACCTTGATTACTCACACTGGTCCATAAGAGTAGCGATAGGTTGCAAATGAAACTTCCAAGCTGAAACTGTGCTTTCATGGTGATCTCTTCCTCTTCAAACCACCAAAACTCCACTAAAAGCTTAAAAATCACAAAGAGAGGCTAGGGTTAGGGTTTTATTGAGATTAGGGACAAAGGAGGTTGTTTGGGAACCCTAAAATGAAGTTTATAGGGTTTAAATACAAAGAAAACCCTAAAAGATCATGGGCTTGGGCTGTAGCGTATCTCATGTCGTGAGCTCCTAATGCTCACGTCGTGAGCTCCTAATGCTCACGTCGTGAGCTCAGTTTAAATCAAACTCTTCGTTAATCACTACTCACGTCGTGACCTCTCTATGGTCACGTCGTGAGTCATGGTTTTACCCAAAAACCATTCCTTTGACTCATCGAAGCCTTAAATCGATATGATCAGGAAACCGGGTGTTACATCAAGGGTGAGATTTGGACACCTTATGTTACCCCCTAAGGGTGGGGGGGGGGGATTGAGCAGACTCAATGGGATACTATAATGGATACTATACATGATGTTCAGTTGGGAGATGCTCCAGACAGGTTGGGTTGGTTACTTGATCCTGCAGATACGTTATCAGTATCATTAACTGCATGTTTTTAGACAGTCGCTTAGTTCTGAATGGGAGTTTTGGAGACACAATGGAATAATTGGATTCTAATTATGGGTAATATTCTCTTATGGAGTTTTTTTTTTGGAATATTATTCCGACCAGATAGAGGCTTTCTCATAGGGATATTACCTTAGATTTGTGCCAAGTGTGTTCAACTACGGTAGAGACGATTGATCACCTTTTCATAAGATGCGCAGATCTTATGGTCGTTTGGCATCGGGTTGCGGTTTGGTGGGGGGTTCAACTTTCTAATTCAGTTTCTACCAAGAATTGAATCAGTTGGGCAGATTCTATCCGTTTCTCTCGATGGATGCTGTGGTGATAACAATGTTTTGGTGCATTTGGAATTTTAGAAATTTCACCATTTTTGGGACGACTTCTCCTATGAAATCTTTACTTTGATGACGTTGTTGATTGTTCGTATTTTTGGATTTCGAATAGGAGTAGAAGTACTAAAATTATTTGGGTTTCGTGATTAAAAAACTCTATTTTAGCTTCTAAGTCTTTGTAATATATTTTTTTTCTAGCTCCTCACTAATATTTATTTTAATAAAAAACCACCGTTCCAAAAAAACTAATACATTCATTTTCTAACTACACATATTTATCCAAGCTCATTCATTAACTTTTAATTTTAGAGATTTCAACCCAAATTATTATTTAACTAATTAGTTATTATTTTTTCAAATTAAGTAACTTTGGATTTTTAAATCCATTAATTTTTTAGTTTAACTAGTTTTAATATATATATATATATATATATATATATATATATATATATATATATATATATATATATATTTCAAATTCACTTAAGGGTTAAAATTTTAAGCCCCTAAAGTTGTGAGTGTTACATAATCTTGGTGCAACGTATCTCTAGGCTAATCGTGTTTTTTATGCACGAACAAAATATGTTCAAATTGATTTTCATTTTGTCTGATAAGAAGTTGCATATGGAGATCTTCAAATACAATTTATCTCCACAAACGATCAGATTGATGATATATTCACAAAACAACTATCAACGTTTTGATTTATCATTTTAAGATCCAAGCTGTAAGTTGTTCCACGCCATTCACTTGCGATGACATATTAGACTATATTTACATGATGTAACATTAAAGTAAACCAGAAGTATTAATATGTACCATATTATTCACACAAATACAATGCAACGCGATGGTTGACTAAAAAGGAGTATTTGGACATTTGAATGATTATTTTTGTGAGTATCTTTAGGTTCTAAAAACTTAAGACATGACGTTCTCTAAGGTGTGACGTTAGAGACGTGTCTTGCTGCCATAAAATGCATTGACATGAAAGATAATTAGGATGTTAAGGAAAAAAAAACATAAAAATATTCTATAAGGTTTGACTAAACAACCCTCCGTTCCTTTTTTTGTCAAGACTAAAAGTTATCAATTATCATCGTCTTGATAGTCAAAAGACGAGGGCTTTCATTTTTAACATGTGATTGTATTAGTATATGTTAAAACTTTTATTGTGTTTTTGTTCTATATTTGGCGAAGTGTTTGTATAGATGATATTTTTATTTTTTAATAATTATATTAATTATATAATTTTCGTTCAACTTTAATCTAAGTTAATATAAACGATAAATTTCACGACAGAAAAAAGATTATTAATAATTTATTAAGACATCCCCATTAAAATTGAACAAGCGAATTTCATCAAAATACAATGAGTCAATGACCGGTCTATGTCTATCTACTCTTTCAGTCTTCAATACTTTTTCATCGAACAAACCCTCAAACCCTAAAATATTTCAAATTTCAACCCGATTAGAAACGGGTCGGTTACCAAATTATGACCGGTAGTATGTTTGTGGGCTATCAACGGTAACCAAGAAACTATCGAAACTATCCGACGGTCAGGATCCGACCCAAGAACTATCAGGGGCCGACCCACGAACAACTTTCGTGTAAACCTTCAAAAGTTCCCAAATTGAGAGGATTTAGCTCATACCCAGAGGGGATCTTCCCTTCTCCGAACAAATCGTTCAAAAATCCAACAGAAAAACCCAAATTCAAATAAACCCACATCTCACTTTCCTCAAAATTCCAATTTACAGCCTTTCTATCCTTCCTAATTTCACATGAGAGTTTCGAATTGAAATAGAAAAGATGATCGTGAGGACCTACGGTCGCCGGACCAGCAGCAACAGCAACAGTAACAGCAGAAGCAGTAACAGTTTAACTTTCGACGACGTAGACGGATTCGACGATTCTTTATCTCAAGATAGCCCTCAAGAATTAGACAACAGTAACGGCGATATTTTCAGTTTCGCGTTTCCATCTCAAGAATCCATCAAGAATCCTTGGTCTTTTGATTCCGACCCATATAATTTCGATTCGTCCCAGGATTCGCGTAAATTGGCTGTTCTACCTCCAAGATCGAAGAAACCAAAAACTGAAGCGAACGAAAAGAGGAAAGATAAGGGCAAAAAAGCGAAGAAACCATTGATGATGTTGACCGAAACAACTACGTTAATGGAGACACAAGAATTTGGAGAGATGATGGAGCATGATGACGAAGTGAATTTTGCTTTAGATGGGTTGAGAAGAGGGCAGCCGGTGAGGATTCGTCGTGCGAGTTTGTTGTCTTTGTTGATGGTTTGTGGTACTATACAGCAGCGGAGGCTCTTGAGAACCCATGGGTAATTAATTATATTTTCTTATCAAGAAACTCCATTTGAGAATCAGATGTTTGTGTTTTAGTTTAAAAATTCTTTACATTACGATACATTTATGCAAATTTGATACTTGATGGCTTATATATCCAACTAAGGCCAAATCTTGGATGATTCTCAAATTATATATGTTTTTGTTAAGTTGTACTTGTAGTGCGTAATTAACATTTTAGTAATTTTGATTACAGGACTGCAAAAACAATTATTGATGCTGTATTGGGCCTCAATTTTGACGATACCCCTAGCAACCTGGCTGCTGCGGCTTTATTTTTTGTTTTGACAAGTGATGTAAGCTGCTTATAATGCTCTTTTTTTAATGAGTTAATGAATTGCCATTTTTATTTTCAATATAGTAACTTTTCTGTAAGTTGTGCATAATCTCCGTATTGGGTTCTTTAGGGGTTCAACTTAAAAATGGGATGCAACTTTTGATCTGAATATATTTATTTAGTGTATAAACATTGAACATCCTCTTACATAAATACATGCACCCTAAGTAAAAGTAAAGCAAGAGAAAACTTAAGCTTAAGCCTGTAATTGTTTTGTATATATTTAGTGTATAACTTATGATATATTTTCTTTCCTTATAGGTTGGGTTAAATGCTAGAAATAGCAATCTATTTTTATTATAGCATCATGCTTTCATTTTTTTTTTTTTTTTTCATATTACAAGAAATAGCAATCTACTTTCATTGATTTGTTTATTTTAGCATCCTAGTTCTATATATCCTATAACATCAAAAACCTACCCGATTATAGCAATGCCATCTATATACAAAGCAATTTTCACTGCTATAGGTAGATAAAGATTTTACAAAGTATAAATGTAAGGATAAGAAAAAGATTGAAAATACAATGCTATAATTCGAGCACAAAAACAAGAAGTTGGCCTCCATCAATAGTGGGTATCTAACTATCTTAAGTTATATCCATTATGGATCAACACTAAAACATAATTTACCAAATTAATCTTTATTTCATTTCAGGGTCAAGATGAATACCTTTTGGATTCACCTAGTTCCATCCGCTTTTTGTTAAAACTACTGAAACCGGTTACAGCACATGCTACTAAAAGTAAAGTTACTACTCTTGGTAGCAAACTTGTAGCCTTAAGCAAGGATGCTTCTAATTTTAATGACAATAAGGGGGAAGAATCTTCATCTTCTTCTATTTTGAACAAAGTTCAAGAAGTCCTTGTGAATTGCAAAGAGTTGAAGCCAAGAGAGGGAAGTGATAGTGATGCAAAAAGGGCCGAGTTGAATCCAAAATGGATTGCTTTATTAACCATGGAGAAAGCTTGTTTGTCAACTATTTCTCTTGAAGGTATTTGCAAAAGAATTAGTTGATTAAAGCGAAGGATAGGATGGTAATTTTCTATTTATCTCGATAATTTCTTTTCTTCTTATATGCTTGTTTGTATTCTTTCAGAGACAACTGGAACTGTTAGAAAATCGGGGGGCAACTTCAAAGAAAAGTTAAGAGAGTATGGAGGACTTGATGCTGTAATTGACATCATAAGGGAATGTCATGGTGTAATGGAGGTATGATCTTGTATGCCATTGTTGAAAAGTCAGGATCTCATAATTATTGAAGGGTATTTTGGACATTTGGAGAGAGCAATATTTTTGTTTGTATTTCATATTATAAGAGAAGACTAATGCTTTATGATCTCATAATTATTTGCAGAAATGGCTAGAACGATATTCAGAATCACAAAATATTCTTAACCTAGAAAGCCCGATGCTTCTATTGAAGTGTTTGAAAATTATGGAAAATGCTACATTTCTTAGTAATGATAATCAGGTAATTCTTATAGCACATGTTCCCCGAGTCTTTAATTATGAAAACAATTAATTGGAATTCATGTTCTTTCACATTACAGAAACATTTGCTTGATATAGAAGAAGACTTGGGTTATCAGCATTCTTTCACAAAACTTATTCTTAGCGTCATTAAGATCCTTTCAGGTATCTATTATTCTATATATCAAACGATCAAATCTTGTTTTTCTTTCCTTATTTATTTTTTATCCATTTATATAGAAAAACAAAACATACTTGCACCATTCTATCGATTTAGACACTTGACTGATGAAACTAATACATACAAACCGCATTTTGTATCTTGCTTGGTATTATTGTTGTAAACTTGTAATCATTTTTCTTTTACTTCTGTCATTGATTTGCAGGTGTTTCTCTACTAAAAAATTCTTCTTCTAATTCTGATGCTAAAAACGAACTTGGTGTCTCAAATGGCACTGATCATACATCTGATCTTCCTTCAGTAGCTGACGACAAAGGTACTCTGCATTATTGTGACATTTGACCCCAATAACTTTTTAGTAAATGACCAAAATACCCATGTATGAACTTGTTTCTCTAATCTGCAGTTGACAGCAATGAAATCATACATATCAGTTCCTCCATAGAGAATTGCAGTATGGATCTTCCTTCCCAAAAGATTTCTACAAGATCCCAGAAAAACCAAAAACCAGATAAAAAACAATCGGGTTCGACTTCTACATCAAGTGGTAAAAAGTCGAAGCCCATCATGATTGAATCTGAGGATAGCCAAGATCCGTTTGGGTTTGGTGGAGAAGATCCTTTTGCCTTTTTTGAAGATGAAGATAAACCTTCTAAATGGGACTTAATGTCTGGGAAGAAAAACGTGTCTCAAAGTCAGAAAAGTGGTTCAGCTGTTGAAGGAGATGAAGATCTTATGGTGGTGAGTCAGCAAGAATCCAGCAATGTGGAACGTGATGACTCACCTCAAGTTTCTTGTTCACCTCTGGATGATGAGGAAAAATTTATCCTTTTGTCTGATTGTCTTCTCACTGCAGTGAAGGTAAATTTCCTTTTCTATTTTAACCCTTAAATAAAAAAAAAATCAATGAAAGTAGATTTCGCTATTTCTTGCATTTAAATGACCAAAATACCCTTGTTTTTTTTTTGCAGGTTTTGATGAATCTAACAAACGACAACTCTGTGGGGTGTCAGCAAATTGCGGGGTGTGGAGGATTGGAGACATTGTGTGGTTTGATAGCGGGTCATTTTCCATCATTCGGGTCGTTTTTGCCCACTTTCAGTGATCCAAGAGACAAGTCGATTCTTGTTGAGGTTGATGATGATGATGATGAGGAGGAGGAGGAGGAGAAAAATAGACGACTTACTGATCAAGAATTGGATTTTCTTGTTGCTATTCTTGGATTGCTTGTTAATTTGGTGGAGAAGGATGGTCATAACAGGTCCTCATTTCAATCATTTTTTTTTCTTTACTCACATAATAGCAACATTTTCTTAGCCATATGGGTAATTGTGGGTAAAATGTCTGAAATACCCTTGCATGTTTGTGCAGATCACGACTTGCAGCTGCGAGTATATCGATGCCTGGGTTAAATGGTCAAGAAAATGAAATTACGGATGTAATTCCACTGATTTGTTCCATCTTTTTGGCCAATCAAGGGGCCGGTGAGGCAGCTGAAGAAGGAAGACAATCGAATTTGGTGAGTGCAGTTGTGTTTCTTGTTTCTGGCTTTTAGCTAAATGACCATAATACCCTTGAATCAAAGAAAATCTTTTAGCTAAATGACTATTATAATACTTGAAATATTCTCCAAAATGGAAATGTTGATATTCAGCTAGAGTGGCTGATATATACTAATATACCCTTGAGTTAAAGCAGATGAGGTGGACAAAAATACTTTAAAATCTGTTTGAAACTGACTTTTAGCTAAATGACTAAGATGCCCTTGAGTTGATTTTTGTTCAGAATGTTGAGGATCCTGTTCTGGAGGGAGAGAAAGAAGCAGAGAAAATGATTGTGGAAGCATACTCGGCCCTTCTTCTTGCCTTTTTATCAACGGAAAGGTTGGTTGACTTTATGAGTTATTTTTGTTAAATAAATAGCATTGACTTTTTTGTCTCACTTGTTGTTGACTTGTGACAGTAAAAGCATACGTAACGCCATTGCTGAATGTCTTCCAAACCGCAAGCTGGCTGTCCTTGTGCCTGTCTTGGAGAGATTTGTGGTATGCCATTTTTGCCCTTATAACCAAGAAGCTCAAAAACAAAAACTATTTCATGGACAAAAATACCCTTAATGGACAAAAATATGATCTTGTGAACTAACTTCACTTCTCTTTTGCTAGGAATTTCACATGTCGTTGAACATGATTTCAGAGGAGACACATTCAACAGTGCTTGAGGTTATTGAATCATGTAGGATGCTATGAAAAGGTAATTTGAGTCATGTAGGGAAGGAACTATAGATGTTGATTGATGGACATCTTGTACAGCTTCAACCTTCCTCTTCAAGAGGAAAACAAATAGGATCATGTTATAGTCTTCTTATTGACCACATTGACATATTTTCCTTCTATTTTATTTCATTTTTTTTTTGCTAATATTCATTTTACGTGGGTCTTTTTTTTTTAAAATATTTTCCTCTTTTTCTTGTAAGCTGCGTTTTCACCAACTTGGTGGTGTTGTATGCATGGGTTATACTTGTAAGGGTCGAATTTAAGACTGAGTTTTTAAGTGTTTTTGCATATTGTAGTTTGTTAATCTACACTTTATTTAGTGAACTGTGGTGGTGCTGTTTAATGTAAAGGAAGCTCCTTTCAAAGCCAACCCTTGATAATACTTCTTCTGTAGGTGTATTTATTCCCCTCTCTATTTATATTATGTCACCAAGACATGATTTGATGTTTGTATATTTCATTTTGTTGTATTTTTTTTGAACGCCGAGTTATCCCAATGTCGTATTTTAATAGTATATATAATGTTTCAACTACATATATAGTGTTTTTCCAAAAAATACATTAACAAATATAACACATAGGCTACAACTGTGAATGGTCATCCACAAGAAGTTGGAATTCATCAAGGTCACAAAGTACGTGAGTTCAATTAAGTTTAAGATATTTTCCGTCAAAGTAATTCACATCGATAATGGTCGCAACAACACATGTCTCATTTTTAATTAAGGCTTTAGTTTTCAGTTTTCAGCTAACATCTCACTAGTTAGAAGCTGCCATCTTTAATGGCGTCTCCAATGGGACAACGTCCATTTTTCAGTCAAACCCTCCAACATTTTTATTATCTTTTTATGATGGAAATTTCAAAAGCAATTATATACATGATAATAATATATATATCGAGCGCTTTAAAATGAATCAAATATTAAAAACGATATTTAAAATTGTTGCTAATACATTAATCGTTTCTCGTTTTATTTCAGCAAATTTTATAACATATAATATTTTACAAAGGAGTAAATAATTATATAGTGTAATTGTTTAGTTTTAAATTAAACAGTCTAATAATAAAAAATAAGTTGTTAAAACATTGATAATATGTTTTCTGATTTGATGTTTTTGTGTGACTTTGGTAGAAAAATAAAAAATCACCCACCATATTTGTGTGTTTTTTGTTGTTAAGATCGGAGATGGCTTAACGAGTTTGTGTTAAATTACCTGTAAGTAACTTTGAGTGGATTAAAAAATCTTGATTACTCGTACATAGCTCCATTTAGACCGAAGGATCTTAATTGACTATTGTTCCCGACGTACCGTTCAACCATGCAAACATACAGTCAAATTATATCGCTAAAAACTCTCAAATATCCTATTTCAGGCCATATAAAGGTGTGGATCTTTAAGTAGGAATATTATTCGGGCCAAAACCGGATCCGAACAAACCGAAAACCGGACCGATTAAACCAATACGGATCCAGTTCAGTTCGGGTATTAATACAAAACCAACTAGATTATTAGTGATTCAACGAAACAATACAAAACTGAAATTCATTCGTCAACTTACTTGGATATAATCAATCATATATATTAGAGGTAGAAACTTTTGCAAGGGATGACATAAAAAATTTCCCGATAAAAATAATATGATATTTTTTTTAATAATACACTTTCATTAAATATAACAAACTAGTAAAAAATGTAACATTTTAAAATCGACATGTGGTGCAGCATGGTGTAAAAGAATCAATAATAAGGTTTTTTTTTTTTTTTTGTTTTGCCGTACCACAATGGCTTCAAAGTTTCCACCGGCTCCTTCTTAATTTATATATTGGGCTAATTGATTACATTGGGCTACTAAATGGACTTACATTTATTAGATAGATTAATTTATTTGAGCTAGTAGTTGCATTTTTTTTGTCCTCGGGTGCATAATATATTTAAAAAAAAAATCAAATTTTTTTTTTCAAATGTAGGGAGAAAACGAGGGGTTGCATGTGCTACCCCTCTCAACAAAGTAGCTCCGCCAATGATATATGTTATATCATCATCTTCCTCTGCATTGTGCCATTGTCTCCATTGTCTTCATCAAAAGACATCGTTTATGAACATTACAAAAATATGTGGTGTTGTGTTGTAGTGTTTTTCTCTCCCTTATATCCAAGTAAGTTGGTGGTTACCTACAAATATGATCCGAGCCTTTATTGTCATTTTAGTCAATAACTCTTTTTTCCATTGCGAGATATCGTTTTTATACACTCCATCAGTACAAACTCACATCCTTGTCTTCTCTTTTTTATGCTTGGGGTCACTTGCGAAAGCAAACACTATCTCTTCGGGTAGAAGTGGACAACTTATTATCTCCCCTTACATGATTCTTATCAAAACTAGGACAATTTTGTTGAAATTATATCGAGTAAATTAAACATTTGTCTTGCTGTTACGGACTTTCTTATTCGAATGCTATATTACATAAACAGATGATACATTTATTCAAATAAAGCAATCTCATGGGACAGTTACATATGTTTATGGAGGAACCCGAGAATTAGCGGGTTTACCTTGTCGGGAAATTGTTCTTGAAGAAAATGGGTTCCTTGAGGCACATATTCTATTTCTAAATCTGTTGCAAATTCTCTAACCATTTCACTCTTTATGAGATCTTTCATTCCTGGAAACTTTAAAAAATAATCCTTCTCCCCTGTTATCAACAACATGGGATTCTTGATTACATCGTCTGCTATGTCGTATACTTCATCCAATGACCTGATTTAAAAAAAAAAAACTAATATATTAAATATAATTAAAAAAACTAGATAATGTATGTATTTTTTAAAAAAATAAAACATGTTTTAGACATTGAAAAACAAACGGTTTGTTTGGCAACAGATTTTGAAAACTTTCGACTTTTATGTTTTAGTTAATTTTTTATACCTTTACTTTGCCTGACACTTCTATTTTTCTAGGAGTTTGGACATTGTGTTAAATTTTTAATTACCTGTAAGGAACTTTGAGTGGATTAAGAAATCCGGATTTCTCATACAGAGCTCCATAGACCGAAAGATCCTCCTCCGTGAACCACGGCGGTAGAGGTGTCGATGGACCAACTATATCCATAATCTCTTGGCTCTCATCGGCGATTGGTATTTCACTCCTGGAAAACAAGATATATATGTTTCGCACCACTGTTTTTGCATCAAAACGCCCAAAATCAGCTTCAGCTCTTCCTGGTTCCTACGAGAAAGAAAATATTGTTTCCATCACCAGTGATGATACCATAAGAAACAGAAATTTGAAGTGACAAATAAGATCATTTTGTAACACATTACATACCCTCCATCTATTGATATAGAAACCTTCGGGCATCTGTTTGAGGAACGTAGGGGGTCTGAAGGGCCTATGTGGTGCTCCAAGTGATATAACTCCGGTCACCCTCGTGGAGTATTGCAGTGTAAAAAGAAAAGCTGGTCTCAACCCGAAGTCTTTCGCGATTAAGAAAATCTGAATGCAACAACAAAGGAACTGTCATCGAATTTGTTATCAATGGGAGTATCTGAGCAAAAAGTCTGTAACAATAACCTAAACCGAGCACAAAATAGTTATAACACAGTAAAACTCTCTAAAGTTATATGTAATTAGAGCTCTTAAGCTAGTTCTTCCGGTCAACCTTAATCGAGATTACTTAATTGGACATTCATTGTTAATTTCTTCCATCCCCAAAAACCACAGCAGTCAAAATTTGCAGGAAATTGCAACAATGAGATGTATAAACTGTCGGAATAAAAAAATCAATCAATGAAGTTGTCTACAAGTTCAAAATCTACTGTTAGATGCACTAATTAGTTGACGCACCTTATCAATTCCGAGCGAATCAAGGATTGCGAGAAGATCGTCGACGAGATCGGAGAATACAAATTTCTCGGTATCGGGAGGTGGATCTGATAGTCCGTAGCCTCGCCAATCGGGTGCAATAGCTCTATAACCGGCATTGGCGATGGCGATCATTTGGTGGCGCCAACTGTACCATATCTCTGGGAAACCGTGGAGGAACACCACCACTGGCGACGACTCGTTTCCGATCTCGGCTAAGTGAAGCTTCACTCCGTTGACTTCCACGAACTTGTGCACTATCTGATCCATTGTTGCTTGATTTTTTGTTGGTGAACTTCAATAGTGACTTTAGCAAGGTCAACAGGCGTCCACTAAGTCGCTAACCGCCGTGGGTAATGATTTTCATAAGTAACCTAAAACCTCCATGTTCCTCAAAATTGAACATTTCTATCAACTTTTTATCTCATAAACTATTTTAGTAAATATATTTTTTAATGGTTAAATTTTTTTAAAGTTTTATTAAATTTAATTAATTTATCTTTTATCTATATTAAAAAAAAGTTTTAAATAACATGAGGCGTGAGCTTGTCGGTCAAAGTTAAACCATAACGAGCCATGAAGTTTTTTAATCCGTGACAATTTTATATAGATTAAAAAAGATAAATCACATAATTATTGAATTTTATCAAATACGTCAAGTTTTTAGAAGTGTTATATTAATATTTAATATTAAAAAGTTATCAAAAACTCAATTATTTTAAGTCCGATCAGGAAAAAACAAAAAAGTTCGTGTCTTGAAAAAAAACTTGCGCCATCACGTGATAAGGGGCGTCTTGACACGTTATTTGGGCGTCACACTTATTAAAACCGACTTGGACGTTCTCGTAACGGCTACACCACGTCTCACACCATAACATGCTTTTAGGCGCGCTATGACGCATTTTTTAGAACCAAGACGTTAAATATATTTTTAGGCTCCCATACCACGTCTAGCTTTTAAATTCTTTTTATTTTATTTTATATATTTCAACAGTTTTTTACAGAACATCATTTTTTATTAGGTTTTTTTTTAGTTAAGAACTAACTTTTCAACTACAATGTCAAACAAAGGAAACTCCCTCATATAATTTATAACTTGTCATTGTCTGGTATATTTTTTTCCAAACTATATAAAATTATAAAACTACCAACACGATAAAATATTATGTAACCGAAATGTTTTATAATATTTAATATTTTTAAAGTTTAAATTTTTTTACACTACTTTTAAATTTAATAATTCTTTTATAGAGTATATACAATTTTTTTTCTTAAATCAATTGTTAACTAATAAAAAAACAGTATCTAAATATCATTGAAGTATAAATATAGTGCTAATTAATGTAGAGATCAAATTTGACAAATAAATGAAAGAAATGTTAATTAATGTTTTAAAACCACCAAAATATAATTTTATAATTTTTTTTATAAATGAAATTTTTTCAAATAATAAATATTTGGAGTGACTTTTAGACAACTGTCTTTTTTTTTTCCTATGTTAAAAAGTTTTTCAAATAGGAAAAAACTTTTGAATGCACATTTTAGACTCGTTTTAAATCGGGTCGTCTTTATTGTTAACTTGAACCGTTAATATGGTCCCTTTATATATATATATATACATACATATATATATATATATATATATATATATATATATATATATATATATATATATATATATATATATATATATTATCTGCCGGATCAAATAAGAAATAAACATGTGGAAAATACATTAAAAAATGCTTATAAAATGTCATGTGTCCAAATAAAAAAGAAAAAAACATGTGACAAGAAGTTCTTTATTTATTAGGTAGGATTACAAGTATTTATTTCCATTTAATTTGTGGCGATTTTAGGTACATCACTACAAATTGAGAGTTAGGTTATGTTTGACGTACTAGCTGAAAAGCTAGCTGTCTAGTTGATAGCTGAAAAGGTAGCTGTTAAAGAAAAAGCTAGCTGATAGCTGAAAAAGTAACTGATAAAAAATGATGTTTGGTAAAGTAGATGAAAAGGTAGTTGAAATATATAAAATTACATAAAAGGACATTTAAGAGTATTTGTTTCTATAATTAATTAAAAGGTATATTTAGAAAATTTTAAAAAAGCTTATAAAAAGCTAGTCATACACAAATTTGAGAAAATTTGAGAGTCTTTTCCCGCATCATATATATAACTTCAAGAACCATTCCTTTCAGGTGAATTTATGGTAATGTTAGTCAAGTCTAATAGTACAAATTGCTCCCAACTTTTGTACCTTGGGAAACAGACGTATATAGGTAGAATTGTTTTAAGAGAATTTTGTCAAGACAGGCCTTGGGTAACCAGGTTTACATATAATGTTTCTGCCGTTTCTTTGTTGTTTTTTCCTTCGATATTGTAATTGTAATTTTGTTATCAATTTGGACATATGTAATCATTTATATTGAACAACTTTCCCAACTACCAAAACTAAAAAACCGACAGGTTTGTTTTTTCTAAAGTCAAAAACCGAATTTTGGTTTGCTTTCAGTTTTAGTAAAAAAAACGAACCAATGGTTGAGACTCCACCGTCACTCTCCTCTCACTTCCCCTCTTCTCTACTGTTGTCTCTCTCCTTTCTCTTCTTTTCAACTTGTATACCATACATTAGGATTTGTACATTGCTGAAAGAAATGTATAACATGGTTGAAAAATGAAGTGAAAATGGAGGAGGAAGTGACATGGCACAAAATGGGTGAAAGATTTTTGAAGACTATAACAATCAACACATAAACCTTAGTAACAAACTTTTTCCATGGTCATGGTAAGAAAGAACGTTGCATTATGGAAAAAATGTTTCTTTTTCTTAAAAATTATGGTTTTTGAAAAGTTTGTTAAATATGAATCTTTTGTGAAACCTTTTAGAAACATGAATGAATTAATTTTCTGGAAAAAAAGGTAATGGCTTTTCAGATAAAAGGTTAAATATAAGAGATTTTCTGAAAAATTCCCCATAATTATCAAAGTGGAACGTATCAACATAACATGATACATGATACTTGGATTGATGAACCAACAATAACTCCATGAGACATTGATATTTAATCATACATTTATTTAGATAAAGCAATTACGAAACGGACTCAAACATCTAGCATCTGAAGACTCCACATGATTATCACGAACTGTGTTTATGCAGGAATGCGAGAATTAGTTGATTAATCTTGTCGGGAAACTGTTCTTGAACAAAATGGCTTCCTTCAGGCACATATTCTATCTCCAAATTCGTCGCAAAGTGTTTAACCATTCCACTCTTCACAAAGCCTTCCACTCCTGGAAACTTAAAGAAATAGTCTTTCTCCCCTACAATCAGCAACATCGGATTCTTGATTACCGGGTCTGCTATGTCATATTCTTCATCCATTGACCTGTAAAAACACAACCCGATAATATTTTGTCATTATTTTTCAACTTCATAAATAATCCATGTATTAAATAAATAGGAAATTTGGTGCTAAAAATTGTATCGACTGAAATTAATTACCTGTAGGGAACTTTGAGTGGATTAAGAAAACCGGATTTCTCATACAGAGCTCCGTAGACCGAAAGATCCTCCTCCGTAAACCACGGCGGCAGAGGTGTCGATGGGCCAACTATATCCATAATCTCTTGGTTCTCATCGGCGATTGGAATTTCAGTCCTGGAAAACAAGATATAAATGTTTCGTACAACTGTTTTTGCATCAAAACGCCCAAAATCAGCTTCCGCTCTTCTTGATTCCTAAAAGAAAAAGTAATGTTGCTTAACACCAGAACTCTTCTGGGATGTATACTTATTAGAACATCGTTTTATGATAACATACCCTCCATCTATTGATGTAGAAACCTTCCGGCAACTCTTTGAGGAATGCAGGGGGTCCGAAGGGCGTATGTGGTATTCCAAGTGATATGACTCCGGTTACCCTTGTAGGATACCGCAGCGTAAACAGGTTAGCAGGTCTAGTTCCGGCATCTTTAGCAATTATGGAAATCTAAAAAAAAAAAAAGGAACTGTCATTGAAATTGCTGGAATCCAAAAGCAGTGAATGTACGTATGTACGATTTCATAACCTACTTATTTGATTAGTTGATTGATGTACCTTGTCAATTCCAAGGGAATCAAGGATTGCGAGAAGATCGTCGACGAGATCGGAGAATCCGAATTTCTCGGTGTCTGGAGGTGGATCTGACAGTCCGTAGCCTCGACAATCGGGAGCAATAGCTCTATATCCGGCATTGGCGACGGCAACCATCTGGTGGCGCCAACTGTACCATATCTCCGGGAAACCGTGGAGGAACACCACCACCGGCGATGACTGGCTTCCGATCTCGGCTAAGTGGAGCTTCACTCCTTTGACTTCCACGAACTTGTGGACTATTTGATCCATGGTTGCTCGAGTTCCGTTGGTGAACTTGAAGACGATTTTAACAAGAAAAAGTCAACAGTGGCGGGCGTTGATCGCACAACATATCTACCGATTTTGACACCCATAACATGTGTGTAATGTTTTATTACTTTTATATTTTACATGTTGTTTAAGTTATTTAGTTATTATTTTTTAAAATTAATATAACTATTTGTTTTATTATTATATTATTTAGTTATTTATTGTTATATTGATAATATTATTATTTATATATTCACTAATAAATTGAATCTCTATTATATAGTTATTTCATGTGTGCGTAAATCGTCCATTAAATCATATTAAAAAATGGATCATTCACCTTTCAAATGGTAATAGTTGTAACATAAGTAATGGTTTATTGTCTTGGATTTATAACTTGTAGTCGTAGAACAATAGAACAAGTGATGAAAAATTCTTCCAAATTTGTAAAATTATAAAAACATGAGAACATATTCTTTGAAAGTTATAGTTGAAGAAGAAATGATTGAGTTATTCTAAGAAATTTGTAAAATGTGGAGAGCAAAAAGAAATTGTTTGAAAATACTTATTGAATTGACATGGATGTATAATTATACGAATCATATATAATTTCAAAAAGAGTCTTAAATAGTACTAGATAATGAGCATTAGCAACGTTCAAATCCATCGATATTTTGTAAATATTTTCTCAAAATGCAACATTTTGGTTAAAAACAAGACAAAAAGGTTTTATCATTCTATTTTTTATGAATTAAAATACATTTTAAATTTATGAATAAACTACAAATTTGGTTCCTTTAATATATAATTTTTTCGGTTTTAGTCTAAGGGCGAAGTGGTCATTTTCAAAAGAAAAAAAAGTAACCATGACCATACTTGGAATGAAATCTTGATATCTTGTCACAAACAAAAGTCATGGTGGCATAATGGTAATTACTTCGAGATTTAAACACTGTAAAATGTAGTCCTCTCATGTTCAAATCCCACAAACTTAACCTTATGGTGTCCTGCCATTAAAAAACATAAAAAATAGATGTTTGTTTTATTACCCTTTCAACTTTATCACCTTTCACAAATCACAACTCTGAGCACAATTGTTGTTACCATTAATTTTAGGAACATTTAAATAGGTCAATGAATGATATACATAAGCAAACTTTAGTTGTCTAGATATAGTTATGTGCCACAAATTGCACCAAATATAACTTTATTTAGTTGTCTCAACCTGATAAAGATAATGTATATCTATTTATATCAAACAATAGAAGGCATGCAACTTTGTACCTATAATAACAACCAAGTTAAATACTTTACAAATATAAACAATCTGCAACCTAAAACACACGTTACCATTTAATAGCTTGTCTATGTAAAATAAATGTGACATATAAATGGTCCACATGTGTGAATGACATACATTCATAATAACATCTAGACCACAACAAGTGTGGGATTTAAAGTTTAAACTCAAGATCTTTATATTATTGAAGCAGAATCACTAAAATTTGTTGGAATTGAGAAAATTGAGTAGGATCTGATTGACCTGGTGAGGGAATTGTTCATGAACAAAATGAGAACCTTCAGGCAAGTATATGATTTCCAGATTTGGTACATATTTCTTGACCTCACCACTCTTCAGATATTCCTCCATTCCAGGAAACTTGAAAACATAATCTTTTTCACCCATTATAAACAAAGCTGGAGCTTCCACTTTTTGATCAATCACATTTTGGTTTGGAGATTTAATTTTCTCTGAGAATGACCTACAAAGATTAACAATATTAACAACATGAAACAGGGTGATTCATATTTACAGATTAAGATGATAGGTTACATAACATAAATTACCTGTAAGGAACTTGGAGTGGGGTTTGAAATCCAGACTTGTGATATAAATCCCCGTATATTTCAAGATCCTCCTCAGTGAACCAAGAGGGTAGAGGAGTGGATGAATCCACTAAATCCATAATCTCCTGGTTTTCAGGGGCTATTGGTATTTCACTGTTAGAGAACAAAATGTAGATGTTTCTCACCACTGTTTTAGCATCAAAACGACCAAAATCAGCTTCAGCTCTTCCAGATTCCTGAACAAAATTCAGATCATATTGTTATCAACCAACATTCAGGCTCCAAAAAAGAAGTATTTTTATGTATGTTTGTTTTTATCAAGAACCAGAGAGAGTGTGGTGTGTACCTGCCATCTTCGGATGTAGAAGCCTTCAGGGAGGGTTTGAAGATGGTTAGGACCACCAGGCCGCATGAATGGCACACCAAGTGTTATAACTCCGGCAACTTTCTCTGGGTATAAAAGGGCGAACGGGTAGGCAACCATTGCTCCAAAATCTTTACCAACCACAAACACCTATAAATTTCAAGGTGATTTGATAAAAAGGAAAAACTGCAGATGAATATTGCTTTTGAGGGAGGAAGAAGTAATACTTCTGCAACAGAAACTTATGAGTCATGAATGAGCAAAATCTGTAGCAACCCATCCCCAAATCACTGCAAGTGTATTGCATAATGCTCGAATATATTCCTCATTTTGATAGTTAAAACGTAATTTTTTATAATTCACGATTTGCATAATTCACCGAGTTCAAGCAATTAAAAGTGACATCTGATTTGGAATTAGGATTCGATTTCTTAACATTAGGATTAATGAATTTCCACAGTATCCTCTGTTTCTCTGCAATCAATGATTTACAATTGGAACTTGGAAGACACTAGCACACTTATGTATATATGTACCTTAGAAATGGCGAGAGAATTTAGGATCGAGGCAGTATCTTTGACCAAATCAACTAATGAGGTCTTCTCCGGTTCTGCAGGGATGTCGGATAGCCCGTATCCTCTGTAATCGGGTGCAATTGCTCTGAAACCGGCGTTTGCGACGGCAATCATTTGATGGCGCCATGTGTACCAGATCTCCGGAAATCCGTGAAGAAAAACCACCGCCGGTGATGATTCAGACCCAATTTCAGCTACATGGAGCTTTAACCCGTCGACTTCGATGTAATTGTGCTTAATTTCATCCATTGATATCACAGAGAGAGACGAGAGTGTGTTGTTCGTCTGAATGCTTGCCTTTGCGTTTATGCTTTTGGAGTGATTGGATTGAGCTAATTGTAGGATTCTACGATTCAGTGAAGTATTTCACTTTTCTTTCTTTTCTTTTTCTTTTTTAATTATGGTGTACGTACAGGCAATAACAACCAGCAGAGTCTTCAGAGAATTGTTCGTGATTAGTGATTAGTTGGCTTGAAGCTCGTGTATTATTTAATAAATTAACAAACACGAACATAAATTCTCGTTCGTTTAGTTAAACAAACGAATATAGGGTTGTAAACGAACCGAATGAACACGAATATGACTTGTTTATATTCGTTCGTTTAAGTTAGCCGAACAAATGAACGAACACGAACGGATAAACGAACGAGTTTTCTTGTTCATATTCGGTCGTTTAACAAATTGCATTGTTCATGTTCGTTCGTTTATGTTCATGAACATGCTAAACGAATATAAATAAACGAACATAAATGAACAAAGATAAATAAACATAATTTGAACATATATGGACATATAATATAATAATTTAATCAAATACAATTAAACATATATGAACATAAAAGTAACTTATATGAACGAACATAAATAAACGTAAACAAACAACATAAATGAACGTTCACGAACATAATTGAACGAACGAGACTATTGTTCATGTTCGTTCGTTTAACTAAACGAACGAGAATTTGTGTTCATGTTCGTTCATTTATTAAATAAACGAACTTCCCGCCGAACGGTTCACGAACAGTTCGTTGAACGTTCAGTTCGTTTACAGCCCTAAACGAATATGAACAATGGTCTTGTTCGTTTAATTATGTTCGTGAACGTTTGTTTATGTTCGCTTATTTAAGTTCTTTTTATGTTCATGTATGTTTAATTGTGTTTGATTACATTACTATATTATATATTCGTTTATGTTCATATATGTTCAATTATATTTATTTATCTACGTTCGTTTATGTTTGTTTATCATGTTCACGAACATAAACGAACGAACATGAACAATGTAATTTTTTTAAACGAACGAACATTAACAATAAAACTCGTTCATTTATTCGTTCGTGTTCGTTCATTTGTTCGGCTAACTTAAACGAGCGAATATGAACAAGTCCTTGTTCGTGTTTGTTGGTTCGTTTACGGCCCTAACAATATGTATTTATATTGGGCAATAAGAAAATACTTTAAGTGTATCATGATACGTGTGGAATGTACTAGTTTTAATCATACTAACTTGAACACAAAAACAAACACACGAAAGACAATGTACCTATCGATTAGTAGTTTAGTTCATGTAAGTAGGGTATCGAACACAGGGAACGGTAACAATTAAAATAAATACTAGTATTACCTAAATAAAACAAGTAATAAAAAGGGGGTTTTCTCTAGTTTTGCAAGACTAGAAACTTAAGCAATTACTAAACACTTAAACAAAAGACAACTAACAACTAAGGAGAAACAAAAGACAACTAGATTCAATAAGATAAAAGAGACTTCCGTTTAGATTAGATTCACTTATTCCTATGGTTGATTTCGTGGCAAGTGCAATGGATTAATATATCAATGGTTACCGATTTCTAATGTGATTAGGTTCATGTTCACTATTACTAATCATTTAGCAAACAAGTTAATTCAAACAGTGATCAGTTGATTAAACTAACAGGTTTCCTAGTGTTCAGTTCGAATCAAGTAAGACTTGTAACATTAGTTAATCAAATTGGTTGGTTTAATTAACTCATATGAGGTTGGTCATCACATATGCTCACACATTAACTTACTTATTTTCTAGTTAACCCTAGGTTCATGTTCACTACTACTAGGCATACAATCTTGTTTTCACAAAAATATATGATTCAAGCAATTAAGAAGATGTTCATGCAACTCAATATACTTAGTTATTAACAGAAAATAATTATCATTAACACAAAAGGATCTTTTAACAAGATTAACAAGATAAATAACCAAATCAATATAATCCAAGCCACTCAATCAAACCATATTCATAAGATCATCTACATCTAAACAGAAGTATGGAGTTTAGCCCATAACTTCAGCAAACACAATCATAAACTCGAAATCTAATGTTATAAACATGATTCAAAACAAAGATTAAGAGAAAAGAGATACTTTAATGCCTTTGATATCTTCAATCCTTAGACTCTAATTGAAATTCGAAAACCACACCTTCTAAGAACCTCTCTGGCCTCCAAAAGTCGCTCAAAGCCTTCAGCCTCCGTTAGGGTTTCGGGAATAAACGATCTATATATAGATTCCAAAAATAATCTCCAACTCGTCGAGTTTTTTACTTAAAACGCTTGTACGGCAAGGCATTAATTTATCGGGAATTTTCATCTCAACTCGTCGAGCTTTTGAACCCAACTTGTCGAGTTCGTTTGGAATCAACATTTTCTCAAAACACGAAAGTTGTCCGAAATTGTGTCTAGTTTTCAGAACATTTTGAATCTCGTCAATCGGAGTTACGAGTCATGAGATATGTCTAAAACACTGAATGGGGGTCAAGCAGTCCGACAACATCCTTCTTTCTTCAAAATCCAAGATTCAAGCTTACAATCGCCAATTTCGCTTCCTTTTCCTTCCGAGCATGTCTTTATTGCTGAAAATATAAAATTTTAAAAATAATTAAGCATCTTTTGTTCATTAAATGAAATAAAATCAACATAAATTATTAAGATAATGCATGAATTTTATAACTAAATATGTCTATATCAAAATACCCCACACTTGACTTTTGCTTGCCCCCAATCAAAACTGAATTTTAGCACACTAATATCACATATGACAGTCCTAATCAAACCCAACCATTATGCCAAGACCGCATGTCACGCCCGTAGATCCGGGCTAGTCAATTTAGAGATAATAGGGGTCGAAAACGACTTTTCGACAAAAGATTATTTAGAATAAATAATCTTACCCAAGTTGTAGAATATGTCTCAAGGTTTCCGTACATATAAAGAACGCCGAAATCCGAGTTATAACGAAGAAGTTATGACCCGTCGAAGTTTTACGGCAAAACCGGCACGGCACCGGGAAGCGTAAATAGTGAATTTACGATAGAGTGAGTTTTAGCCTTAGCGATCTAAACAAAAGTCGTAGAAAACGTTAAACCGAGAGCGTCCATAAAAAGAACGCCCAAATCTGACTTCGTATGAGGAAATTATGATTTTTCTAAGATTTGGCATAGCAGTGCACGACCCGAAACTCGAATTTTAGTTCGAGCGGTTTTTGGCTTACGCGACCTAAATGAGAGTTGAAGATCTCATTAATAGGAACTCAACGACAAAAAGACAGACGAAAACGGAGTCCGTATGTAAAAGTTATGAATTTTACGCGGACATTTAACAGTGTAATCACCTCCTACTGTTAAATTTAAGATCGGTCGAAAACTAGCCGACGGAGTAAAAAGGAAAGTTGTAGATTTTATTTTTACCAACGCGTGGATATAAATAACGTCAAAAACGGAGCTCGTATGCGAAAGTTATGGACGAAGCTTACTCTCTACTTTTCGAGCGCCGCGAATTCGATACAGTTTTTGTAAATCTGAGATAGAAGGAGAATTAGCCGACGGGGTCTAAATGAAAGTTGTAGTACTCGTAAATACCAATGTGTGGATATAAAGAACGTAGAAAACGGAGCTCGTACGCGAAAGATACGGACGAAGCTTGGAGGCTACTTTACTATAAAATTCCTATAAATAAGAGATGAACTCTTCATAATTTCTTCACACCATAAGCCTTTCTTTCTCTCTCTAACTTCTCTCTAACCTCCCTAAACCCCTCCCAAGTCTAGGGAACCTCCCTAGCACGAGAAGAAAGCCCCGGAGCGCCCGACGGCTCCGAGAAGAAAAGCTTTCGGCTCGGAAACGCTGCTCCAGCGAAGCCCGGTTTTTAATAAAAATCCGCTGTTTTGTCGAGGAAAATTGTTTTGAGATAACGAAGCGCTGTCTGAGTTCGGAATCACCACCTAATCAAGTGAGTGCATAGTTACTTTCATCTTACACATAGATATGAAGTATTTTATATAAATTACGTGGTATGTGTGCATATTATTTGAATACTTGCTTTCTATGCTGGATGAATGATTTTATACATGTTTTAAATAATTTAAAATGTATATGTATTTTATATCTACGAATATGTTGGGTAAAACATGGGTAGATGAATGATGAGAGATGAAAGATGATATGAGTGAACATTGGCAACTATAGACTTAGTGCCTAACAAATAACATCGACAGCTATGGACTTAATGCGTATAGAATAAACATTGGTAGCTATGGACTTAGTACCTGTTAAATAAACGTTGGTAGCTATGGATTTAGTACCTATTAGCTGAACACCGGTAGCTATGGATTTAGTACCCGATGAATGAACTTTAGCAGCTATGGAATTAGTGCTTTACGAACAAGCATTGACAGCTATGGACTTAGTGCCTATCATATAAACCATGGAAGCAATGGGCTTCGAAATGAATGAATGCAGGATAGATGATTCTTAGGGTAGATCCTTAAGAGTAAGGAAGATAATGGGGATGGGTAATTGGGTTGATTGTTTGATGTTTAAACATAATAATTGAATTATTGTGGGTTGAAAACCCTATGTACTCACCGGGTTTCCCAACCTGACCCACTCAAGCTTATTTGTATCACAGGTGTCAATATGAAGCTACTTTACACTGAGGGATTTAAAAGAGATGTAGATCACTAGTGTAAATGAATGTAAGTTCTGTTTATGCTTATGTTTCTGTATTAACGATGACATCCCAAATGTTTTAAAATGGATAAAAATACATTTCTTCGGAAATGCTTTGATAACGTATTTATCATGTTTTTCTGGGAACAAATTCCGCAACATTTTTATTAAAAGAGGTACTCTGATTTTTATAAAGCATAAACAAAATCAGTCTTTTCTGGCCGTGAAAAATGGGGATGTCACACCGCAACACTTGCATTTGTGTCTAAAATTTTTCCTAAGGACCCCCTAACCCTAAATACTCACAATCTTCATAAACACTCGCCCACTTTTTCCGAACAACGCTCATTTATGCATCCCTCCGAATCCATCCGCAGAAAACTTTCTTAACCTCAAGAAATATTTGGTTAAACCCCCAAAC